AAATATGCTCTCAGCATTTTCCAGTGGGATTCTGCTTTTTAAAAATTCTTTCAGAGAAGTGAGTATCAGTGGGATCACAGACACAGAAGAAGAAAGAATTAAAGAAAGTGCTGCTTATGTTGCCAAGAGGAACCTTTTTGCTACAGGTGAAGGAGTTAGTGTCAGCAAAGTGGCCAAGTCAACTTCTGAAGAGGAACATCATGAAAAAAAGTCAAGGAAAGTAGCAATCCGGGAGTCTGCTGAGCGTGTGGCCCTGAAGAAAACGGTAAAAGAGTAAAAATTAACACCTAGGCTCTAAACAGTGTGGGTCTTTTTTGTTTGGTGTTTGTAACATGCCTAGTACAACAGAGCCCTGATTTACACTGTGGGCAATCATAATTATGGCAGTAAAAACCCAAAGTGTTTTCAATGGAAGACTTTTCAATTACTTGAAATCTTCTTATCTCAGTGTTAGGTGGATAAGAAAAGAGGTTCAGTGCTTGAGGTAGGCACTAGGGCTTCTTCCATTGTACTTGGAGAGAGGAAGGGAGAATGGGGCCAAGGAATGCTCTTTGGTCATGCCCATACCTAGTTAAATGGCACAGCATCCTTCACCTGAACAATGAGGCAGTTACTGGAGAGAAGAAAGATGTCAATATATGTATCTTGCCAATAAGGAGGTGGTTGGGTAATTTCTGGATTTTTATGGCCTGGGATCAAGCTTGTTCAAAGTGTTTACCCCAGACTTTTAATCACAGGGTGTAAATTAGGGAGGGAATAGCCAAAGACATCTGGAACTGAATCTCTAATTGTGGGTAGCTTTGATATTATTGTTCGACTTCTTAAAAATAAGAGGATAGTTACAAATATGTTATGACCAGACTGGTAGAATAGATCAAGAACAAATATGTTTCATTTAGCAAATTTATATTATTGATATTGATATTGATATTGATAGCAAATTGATATTATTGTTCGACTTCTTAAAAATAAGAGGATAGTTACAAATATGTTATGACCAGACTGGTAGAATAGATCAAGAACAAATATGTTTCATTTAGCAAATTTATTAATATTCATGAGCAGAAGAATTGGTGATATGCTTATAAAATATCCTCATGATATGAAGTTGGAAAGGATGTAAGCACTTCAAAGGACAAGGCAAAAATTCAAAATCATCTAAAAAACAGAAACAGTAAAGGTGAAATTTAGTAATAACCAATGGAAATTACTGCACACAAAACCAAAAGAACAAGTAAACAAGGAATACCTGGCTAAATAGAAATACTGGAGGGTCTAGGAGTTATAACAGGTCACAAATTTAATGTCAGTCATTGTATAAAAACAAATGCAATTCTAGAGTGTAGAATAATAATAGTATTTTCAATAAAACACAGGAGGTAATTATTTAATTGTGTTGGAGATTGATGGACCTCTGACAATGAGTAGTTACTGTTTTATGAACGTTGAGGACAAGTAGAACCTGTCCAGAACTGAGAAACAATAATTGTAAGGAAAATTGGTATTGCACAGTTATAAAAGACTGAGAGGATTATGAAAGTTGTCTTCTATTAACAACCTTAATACAGGGAACAGTAATTCTCCATGCCTGTGAAAGTTAAGGCAGAAAATAAATAGTTTAGTTTGCACAAAGCATGATTTGTAGCATATTAGGATTTTTTTCTAGCTCTGTGGATATCTAAGCAGTTGAAATAGATTCCCTGGGAAGATGAAAGATCCCATCAGC